TGTCCACTGGGGCGACACAAAGGAGTCTCTATTGGGGAGGGGCCAGGACGAAGGATAACGAGAAAGCACGACTACTGTCCCTCAGCCATGAACAGTCTGGTCCCTAGAAAACCCAGTCACCACTGGCCTGTACTGCTCAAGGCAGAGACAGGCCTCCCAGCCCCTGGCTGACTCCCGTCTGCTTCAAAACCACGGGGAACAGAGCTCATGCTCCAGGCCCTACCACAGTCACCAACGTGACCACCAACAACTCACAACCCAGAAATGGTCTGGCTCATCCTGTGTGGTCCAGCTGGGGAATGTGCGGCCCATACGGCCTCAGGAGAGCGTTCCCAGTGCACTCTGGTAAGACCCGGGGGTTTAAAGGCGGTGATTCTGGGTTCCCAATGACAGCTCTAACCACCACTGCTCCAGTGGCCTGTGGCTGCTGCCACACAGGAGGACCAACCTCCCTGCCACCCTCTGTGGGTGCCACTCAGAGGCCTTGTACTCTCCTCCTCCCTGCTCAAGCAGTACACTGACGCTGCTGGGGACAGTTCAGCATCCTCCAGGTTGGGATTCCACCCTCACAAACTGTCACAGAACCTCAGGGTCTGGCTTGTCCAGTTCAAACCCCCATGTGGGTACAGGAAGCTGTCTTGTCACCCCTCTCAATCCCCCCAGTGGGTCAGCTCACTCTCAAAGGAAGAGTGTAGACATACTCAAAGGTATACAGAAATACGGTCATTAAAACTTTAAAGCCAGCCAGGCCAGTGTGGCTCGGTGAACTGAGCGACATCCAGAGGACTGAGAGGTCTCGGTTTGATTCTTCCCACGCCCAGGTTGTGGGCTCGATCCCCAGTAGGAGGCATGCAGGAGACAGCAGATCAATGTTTCTCACTCACATTGATGTTTTTACCTCTTTCCCCCTCCCTCTCTCTCTAAAACAAAACAAAACAAACAGACAGAAACACTTAAATTCCACCCGAAAAGTGAACGTTTGCCCAGGAAGGGGCAGCCTCTCCTGAGGCACTGTGCAGGGTCAGACCAGCTGTAGACCCCAGCTTCCGCTGCGTTCTGGCAGGTGAACCACCTCGAGGACTTCTCGGTCTCATCGTCTGGTAAATGGGATAACTCCCACTTACCCCACACAGTCACTGTAAAGATTAAGATCTGAAGATTTTTTTTTTTAAATGATAATAGGGAAATGTTCATAATACTACAGGTGGTCCCCCACTTGTGATTTTTCGACTCTCCGATTTTGTGAAAGCAGTATGCATTCAGTAGAAACCAAACTTCGAAGTGTGAACTTTTCCCAGGCTAGCAATATGCAGTATGATACTCTCTCATAACACAGGGAGTAGCTGTAAGTTCCCGCTCAGCCGCGTGATCATGAGGATAAACAACTGACACTCGAGAGCAGGGGTGAGGAATCTTTTTTCTGCGAAGGGCTATTTGGATATTTATAACATCATTAGTGGGCCATACAAAACTAACGAGTTAAATATTAGCTTGCTTTATTTGGTCATTGAATTAACCCACCACGAATGTGATGGCTACAACTGCTTCCCTTTGTGAGGCGTGTGATGTTAGCTGGCATTGACTGTACGGCCCGTGGGATGGATGTTTCCCACCCCTGCTCAAGAGTGAACTGCTGTGCTGGCATTTTTGGGATACTGTTTGTACGGTTGCACCCCATCATGTCTACAAAACTCCCACCGGTGTGTCTCCTGCTTCTGGTGAGAAGAGGAAGGCTACTGCTCTTGACATCAAACTCAAGGTAGGGCCCAACTACAGGCTACTGTGTTCTGAGCACGTTTAAGGTAGGCGAGGCCAAGCTGTGATGTTTGGCAGGTGTAGTAAATACATTTTCAACTTATGATAGGTTTATCAGGACATACGGGTAAATCAAGGAGCATATGTATATGAACCAGCAAGATGGGAGGGAGGAAAAGTCAAAGACGAAACTGGGCTCTTTCCCAGGTGTGGCCCAAAAGGATAGCACAAAGCAACATGTCTACACCACCTTATTCAGGAAATCACAACCCAAACATTTAAGTCTATAAGAAACCAGAACCACTTCATCCTGATTCTTGGATTCCAAGGGCCATCTGCAAGTACTCGGCTCAAGGTAAGCACTCAGATGTCAGTCGAGTAGATGAATACACTCTGGGCCCTGGTGTCACATAAGGATAGCTTTGTAGCCCGGTTCCACCAATGACTGGCTGCATGAGCTTGGGCAAGTTACTTCACCTCTCTGAATCGGTCGACTCATTTGTAAATCAGGGAGGATCCTCTCTCTCACAGGCTGTTTGGAAGTTGAACGAGATCAAGAAGATCATGAGGCAGTTAACACAGCGCTTGCACAGTCACTGCTGGTGACTGCTGTTATCATCACTGCTATTTCATTAGCCAGTCATCGCTATAATGTAAAGCTGATTCCACTTGGAAATTCTTAGTAACTGGACCGGCTTCTTGCCAAATGGCTGGGTAAAGAAGATAGTAAAAAACAACCACAAGATAAACTATGAAATAGCAACGAGTCAACCTCTCAGACTACTGGAGAAGGAGCTGTTCTACAACAGGGAAAGTTCTAGATGTGAGAGCTCTTCAAACACTGAAACTGATTTTAACAGTGAAAATCAATAATCTGTGGAAACTTCAGACAAATGTGATTTAAATCCTAGCTTTTTACCTCTACTTCCTGGGGCCTAGTGGGAGTTATTTAGCCTCTCAGGGCCTTAGTCTCCTCATCTGTTAAAAAAAAAGGACAAAACTATCTTCCCAGAGGTTCCCGCAAGGGTCAAGATGATGTACGTGAAAATACCGGCATGTGACAGACAAGCAGGTTACACGGCGGTGCATTCAGGGCCTGTGGATGAAACGCTGAGGGCCATTTGTTTGTGGCTGTGCCTCTGAACTTCATTCATCTGCTTACATGTTGTGGGGTTGTTTGTGTATCAGACTGAGATGTCACTTTTCCTCCTGAACCAACTTCTAAAAGAAAGTGTTTATTAAATGTGTTACAGCAAATCTGCTGTGAACTGGAGAAACAGTCCAAGTGTCCACAAAGTGGGGGCCTAAAGCTCTCATGCCGTGACACACCAGCAGTGGGGGCCTGAAGCTCTCATGCCGTGACACACCAGCAGTGGGGGCCTGAAGCTCTCATGCCGTGGCACACCAGCAGTGGGGACCGGAAGCTCTCATGCCATGGCACACCACCAGTGGCACACCAAGTGTCCACAAAGTGGGCACCTAAAGCTCTCATGCCGTGGCACACCAGCAGTGGGGACCGGAAGTTCTCATGCCGTGGCACACCAGCAGTGGGGGCCTGAAGCTCTCATGCACCAGCAGTGGGGGCCTGAAGCTCTCATGCCGTGGCACACCAGCAGTGGCACACCAAGTGTCCACAAAGTGGGCACCTAAAGCTCTCATTGCCGTGGCACACCAGCAGTGGGGACCGGAAGCTCTCATGCCGTGGCACACCAGCAGTGGGGGCCTGAAGCTCTCATGCCGTGGCACACCAGCAGTGGCACACCAAGTGTACACAAAGTGGGCGCCTAAAGCTCTCATGCTGTGGCACACCAGCAGTGGGGGCCTGAAGCTCTCATGCCGTGGCACACCAGCAGTGGGGGCCTGAAGCTCTCATGCCGTGGCACACCAGCAGTGGGGGCCTGAAGCTCTCATGCCGTGGCACACCAGCAGAGGCACACCAAGTGTCCACAAAGTGGGGGCCTGAAGCTCTCATGCCGTGGCACACCAGCAGTGGGGGCCTGAAGCTCTCATGCCGTGGCACACCAGCAGTGGGGGCCTGAAGCTCTCATGCCGTGGCACACCAGCAGAGGCACACCAAGTGTCCACAAAGTGGGCGCCTAAAGCTCTCATGCCATGGCACACCAGCAGTGCTCTGGAACAGCACCGGCTGCAGCTACGCCAAGGCTTTGTTTCACTTTCCTTCTCCTGCCTACATCCTAGATCAGGGTGGGCAAACTATACACTGTGGAACAAACTCCACCCCCTCTTAAGCTCAAGAGAGAGTTTTTGTATCTTTAAAGGGTAATATAAAACAAAAAAAGACAAAGCAAAGAATAAGTAACAGGATTTATGTAGCCTGCAGAGCTTAACATTCTTACTATCTGGGCTTTTATGGACAAGTTTGCAAAGCCTTCTCTAGATGACTGAATTTGTACGAAGGTGGTATTGCACATTTTATAGTTTTGCTGTATTATCAGCATAGAAGTTAGCCTAAAACAAAATTCTGATGATTAAAAAAGTATTGCAGAGAATAACTTCTCTGGAACTTTTCCTTGCAAAATTGATCGATTAAGGGGCTGCTCTTTTCCGTGGTGTGGTGGGAGGCAGCACGAGGCGGGAGAAGAAGAGGTGAGAACATAACCGAAGCCAGCAACACCACTTCCCAAGGTACATCTCAGGAGTCAGCAAAATGTCAGCTCCCACTGAGCTAAGGACCTCGACTGGTCCTGCCGTGGTGATTGGTCTGGAAGCAGGGACCCCTGAGCACTAGGAAAGAACTGGGTCAGACACGCAGTAGGGTAAAGAACAGAGGGACCTTTGGACATAGACAAACTTGGGTTTGATTCCTGGCTCTGCCTCCCGCCTTGGACAAATTCAACTTTATCTGAGCCTTACTTTCTTCATCTGAAAAATGGGAACTAAAATAGTCACCATGTTTGTGGGGATTTGAGAGGATGGGTAGGAAATATCTGGCACTGCCTCATACAATCCAGGTGCCATCCCAATGGTACCTGCTGTTATAAGGAACCATGACACAGAGCAACGCACAGGTGAGTCTGCATATGACGACATTCTATCACCAAGTCATCTCCTAACTGAACCAGCTAGAAAACTAGTGCCCAGCACCTGCTCTGGGCATGAAAAATTTTAATTAGCTAGGCGAGCCAGGTAACAGGTTCAAGGGAGACATACTGGCCTGCCCCATTCTCATTCATGATGGACTCACAAAACCGTGAGAACTCAGCACGCGGGGAGCAGTAACTCACAGGTCTCGGTACTGGTCAAAGGCATTGTTGGCTTCCACCTCCAGCTTTCTCAGCCGAGCAGAAGGCATGGCCCCATCTTCCAAAGGAGGGTCATACTTGTTACTCCATGGTGACCTGGAGGGGGGGAAAGCGAAGGGGAAAAACATGCATCATTTTGGGGAGACACAGCCTATGACCCTTGAGTCTAAGCCCCAGCTGTCCAAAATTTCAGAGAAGAAGCTACTACCCACAGCAAAGATTTTTTTCCAAGGCCCTGGCAACAAACCCAGCTTCTGTGAGGTTTGCAGAGCGAGGGCTCAGCAGCAGGTAGACTTGGGTACCAACCCCTCTCACTCTGCCTCTCGCCAGCTGTGTACTTCTGCCAAGTGGCTTGATGTTGCTGTGAAATGAGACTGCTCTCTCCTACCCAGAGGGCTGGTGTGAGAAGCAATGGAGAAAATATATCCCAAGTGCCTGGGCCAGAGCTGGGTTTACAGTGAGTATTCAGCAACTGTGATTTCTTTCTTACCCTTTTTCTAATTTTCCTTTGTTTTCACCATTGTATTGCTCAACAGATGCCCCTCTACCCCCTTTCTCCCTGACCTGCTGCAGCTTGGGAAAAACTTTTACTGCAAAGACTTCTTACACAGTTAAGAATTAAAAAGACAGCGGTCGCCCTGGCCAGTTTGGCTCAGCAGTTACAGCGTCAGCCCTCAGACTGAAGGGTCTCGGGTTCGATTCCTAGTCAAAGAAACATAGCTCGGTTGCAAGTCTGATCCCTTGCCCTGGTTGGGGTTGTGTGGGAGGGAACCAATCGATTTGTCTTTCTCATGTCAACCTCTCTCTCTCACCGTTCCCCCCGTTCCACTCTATCTAAAAATCAATGGAAAAATATCCTTGGGTGAAGATTTACAAAAAAGAGAGAGAGCTGTCGTTAGGGAAGTGAGCAAGAGACCCAGCCGAGTGATCAGGCTCCCCACGCGACCAACTCCAAGGGCCATACCCGGAGAAGACTGCGAGGCAACGAGAACCAGTCTCTGTTTTGCCAGCCTGAACACTTGCTGCATTTTTTAAAATGTATTTTGCCACATCAGGAAAGCATTTAATCACACAGGGTACTGGAAAGGGTTATAAGGGAAATATCTACATATTAAATCCTGCAGGTGGAGTTCAGAGAGCTGGGAGCTCACAGAAGGAAACAGAATTAAAAAGGTGAGAAAAATGGAAAGGAGAAGACAACATGAAACTCAGACAAAGCCCTTTACACTCTTGGGCATAAACACCTCAATGTGTCCACTATGAGAAACCCACGCTGCCTTTCCCATTTCTCTGCTGACAATGAGCCTCACGTCACTGAGGACTCCAAAGGCTCTCTCAATGTGGGAATGGGTGTTAAGGGAAAAAGGTACCACCATCTTCTGAACCCGTTTTTACAAATTCAGTGCACAAACCTCTTTTTTCTTGGTAACAGGCGCCCTACCGGGCACCTATGCCAGCGGCAGGGAAGACGGCTCCCTTCCGACGGCAGCAGACATGTGGGCTCAGCCTCCAAACAGTGCCGCCTGGCAGGACTTTCCACCCCAGCAGAAATGTTCTTATCTACACTGTCCCAAATGGCAGCCATGAGCTTCATGTGGCTACTGAGTCTTGTGGCCACTGCACTCGAGAGGCAGATATTTTCATTTAACGTAATTTGAATTAATTTAGATTTAGCCAGCCAACTTTAGAACCTAAGCTCCAACAGGGGGAGTCCTTTGTCTTGCTCTCTACCAACCCTCAGCACCTCGAACAGTGCCTGGCACTCAACCACATGCTCACTTTAAAAAGTGTTGTTCAAAGAATAAATCAATTCCTGTACACCACCCCCGAAGCAGAAGTAACCATCCCCCCCAGCCCCCTCAGTGCCACAGGGCCATCGCTCCCTACCACATCCCCACCTCCCTCGCCCCAGACTGCCGAGAACGCCGAGGGGAGCCTATGCTGTCTCCCTCACTCCCAGCACCGAGCACCAAGTTCCTGTGCAGTAAGGGCTTCAAACCAACAGAGGAGGAGTAACTTTCTGCCTTTTCTGCTAAGGCCTCTCTGCAGAACCAGAGGCAAAGATGCAGCTGAAGGGCACAGTCACCTCCACTGCCAGTGGGAGCAGAAACAACTGAAAGTGAGAATCTGCATCCCCTTCCCCTGCGCGCGGAGTCTCCTCCACACACTCCAGCTCTGACCTTCATTTCCCCAGTTAAACGGCCATTGCCTTCCTGTGGGCCAGGAAGACCCGTCCCAACTGGCTTTTTCATTTCCAGGCGACCTGATTAGACACAAGAGCCCATCTCTCTTGCAGACTGGGGGTCTGGAATTTTCAAGAAGCCTGTAACTCACATTTCTCCTGGCTCACAGACGACAGCATTTCAAGCCGTTAGTCTCGGAGCCAGGGTAATTGTAGCTGGGGGAAAAATCATAACATTACCCAGAATATTCTTAGTGGAAGGGGCACTCAGAACACATTTAAGAGCTTAAATGGAGGCCATTTGAAAAAAGACAGATGGACAGGAACACTTAGATTTCCAGTCAGGCCTTTCATTTCCCTCAGGGAATGCTTTTTGTTCAGCTAACAGGTTCAAACAGTGCTGCTGGCAACAGTCACACCATAAGGATCTTATTTAAGCAAACGATCAAACAGGATGGAAATGTGTGGAGAAAATCAGAAGACCTTGAAGTTTTATATCAAGAGGAGGAAAAGGGAAGAAAAGTCCTGGGTCCCGACACCCCGGGCTCCTCTTCGGCTGGAGTCCCCCAGGCCACTCTACAGTGCCTGAGGAACGAAGGTGGGAGCTGGCAGGGTGACCTGGAGGGCAGGCAGGTGCCAAATCCCCTGGGTAGCCCAGCCTGGGCATGGCTGTGGAAATGACCTCAGCCTTCCACAGGGGAACAGCTGTCTTAAACAGCAAGGTGGAATTTTCAGGTGGAAAAAAGAAACATAATAACCTTGACTAAGCAAGACTCAGCTCAAGGATCACCTCTTCCGGGAAGTCTCCTCTGAACCCCGTGCCTGGTGAGGCTGCCTGTCCTTTGGTGAGGGTGTTGGACCACTTAGCGCCTCACGGACCTTTCTCTCAAAGAGCTGGTCTCCCCATTTCCTAGGAGGCTCCCAAGAAGGACTGAACCTGGACCCATGCTCACAACCTGTACAGTGACTGGCCCTCAAGGCCAAACCTGCTCCACCTCAGGACTGTCTCAGCACCTCTATGCTGGGGACACCCACAACTACATCTCCCTCTCGGCCCAGACTGCTAGACTAGCCACACCCTACTGGGCATCTCCACCTTCACCTAATGGGCATCTCGAGCTTAAAATGCCCACAAACCAGCAACTCCCAAGAGTCTTCCTCACCTCAATAAACAGTGGCCCACCTTCCAGCTGCTCAGGCCCAAAGCCCTACAGCTGCCCTTCACACCCCATCCACCGACAAAGTCTGCCAGCACAGTGGTTAGAGCATCAGCCCACAGGACCGAAGGGCTGAGGATTTGATTCCTGGTCAAGGGCATGTAGTTGAGTTGCAGGTTCAATTCCCCACCCAGCTGAGGCACGTGTGGGGGGAAACCAATCGGTGTGTCTCTCTCACATCGACGCCCCCCCCCCCCCCATCCCCTTCAACTCTTTCTAAAAATCATTGGAAAAATATCCTTGGGTGAAGATTAACCAAAAAAAAGTAGACTACTATTCACCATTTCCACTCTAGTCTCTGGTCTGGCTTGGATTGGGCCAAAATGCATTATCTGCCTAACTTCCATTTGAAGTTAGAAAAGGGACATGACTATAAAACAACTGTCCAGTCTCTTTGGAAGTCAGTATTCACTAAATCTTTGTAATTTACACTAAGTTCTGAGCTACTCACTACTTTGAATGTGTTATTTCTTTTAGTTACTCTAGTAACCCTGTTCCATTACCCTCACCCTAGCCATCAAAGCCCTGCACGATCTCTCCCCACCACGCTTCTGACTCATCTCCCACCCTCACTGGCCCCTCACCGCCTTCCCCCACTCTAGCCTTCCTTCAGGCTTGTTCCTGACCAGGTCAGCTTCTCCCAGGGCCATTACACCCAGCATGCTCTTCTCCCAGACCCGTGCTGGACTGAACCTTGTCATCCTTAAATCTCACTTCAAACATCCCACTAACAGAAGAGCCTTCCCTGTCTACCCATCCTATCTCTCCCTTGTTTTTTCTATTTTATTTCTTCACTTTTCACAGCTTATATAATTTATGCATTTGCTTACTATCTGGCTTCTTCACTAAGATATAAGTTCCATTGAAGAGTGACTTATAATAGTGCTTGCCACACACAGTATGTGCTTACAGAGGGACGTTATTTAGTATGCTGTTGGAAGAACAAATACTATTATTTCTGTTTTCTAGGTGAGAAAACTAAAGACTGGAGATGAAAAGCAAATTGGTCAGCCTGGCCAGTGTGGCTCAGTGGTTGAGCATTGACCCATGCACCAAGAGGTCGCTGATTCGATTCCTGATCGGGGCACAGGAGGAGGCCAATCGATGTTCTCTCATCGATGTTTCTATCTCTCTAAAATCAATAAAGAAAAAAAAATTTTTTTAAAGTAAGTTGGTCAAAGTCCCCATTGCTATAGGGGGCAGTGCTGGTTTGGGACCCAGGCTGGCTGGCTCCAGACAATTTTTCCTGTACCATTTCTCTGACCCTGGCCCTGACCCTCTGTCCCCCAAAAAGAGCACTAGGCTGAAGCTTCAAGACTCAGCCCAGGTTCTGTGGGCTCCAAATACACCTAAAGCAGACTGCTTTCCTCCACCATTCTCTAAAGCACTGGCTATAGCAATCCATCACAGAAATACTCGACGGTTTACGATTCCCAATCTTTGTCAATAGAAAGAACTCCTAGACAACCTTTTTTGTTTAATCCTCACCCAAGGGTATTTTCCCATTGATTTTCAGATAGAATGGGAGGGAGGGAGGGAGGGAGGGAGGGAGGGAGGCAGAAACATTGAAGTGAGAGAGACACACTGATTGGTTGCCTCCTGCATGACCCCAACCAGGTACGGGCCCTTGACAAGAATCGAACCCGAGACTCTTTGATCAGCGAGATGATGCTCTAACCACTGAGACAAACTGGCCAGGGCGGAAACCTTAAAAACCTAGCACAGATATCACCTCCTTCAGGAAGTCCTCCAGGACTTAACTATGGTCTCTTCTATGCCACCCTCAAATCCTGAATAAGCTTGGCACTGGCTGCATGAATCATGCCGTGCAGTAATCAACTGCTGGGTGCACCTCTGGTTCTAGATCAGTGATTGCCCAGGTTAGGGACTTATGTCACCTTAGTTATTGCCCTCAGTATGGTGGCAGAAAAGAGAAAGGAGAATTGCATATTTGTTTGACAAAACAGCATTCAAATGTCCCTAACCACACAGGCTCAGGATCCTTATCACGTCTACACCCTGTATCTTGCCCTTTGCAGGACATAATTATAATGAAACTGCTCATTATTCTGTAACAGTATCCCTCTGTTAGACTGTAAGCTCCACCAGGGCAGAGGCCTTTTGTTCATGCTGCATCTCTAATGCTCATTAGAGGCACTCCACATCTATTGGTTGACTGCATGGAATGATGGATGGGAGGGAGGGAGGGAGGATGGACTAGCAGAAGGACAAATGCCTGTCAAAGGTTAGTGGTCTGAGCACCCCGGCGTGGTACTGACCGCCCAGGGCGCGGCCTGGCATGCCTACTGCACTCTCGGGGCAGGAGCTCACCTATAGGAGTCCCCGTCTCTGTTGTAGTCACACAAAAGGTAATCCTTTCCCACCACCTTGTCTCTCGCGATTTTCAGTGGTTGGTCAACAGAAGACAGGAGATCTTCACATAGACTGGGGACCTGGCAGAGAGAAAGAAGAGCAGAAACAGGGGTTAAAATAACATCAGACCCAGGCTGGCTAACAGCAACTGCAGCCAGATCACGGTCAGCATATTTAACATCTGGCCCTTGGTACCCTGCCAAAATTATGGGTCTGTTCTTTTCTTTTCCACATGTGTCTGACACCAACTGTGTCCCTCTATAAAGAAACCTGTTCTTGAATTACAGCAGAGCGTGATTTCCAATACAGCCTTCCTTCCAAATCTGTGTGCAGCTTTAATTACCTGGGCGCCAGGGTGGTCTAGTACATGTAAGTATGTATATGCTCAGTATTGGTCTCTGGTGGGCAAAGTACAAGCTGGAGCCCTGAGAAGAAGGTAAACATGTTGAACATATGGGAATCCACAGAACTCTGAGAGGAGCAAGCCGTCCATGGCCGAGAAACTCCCACAGGCTCCCATGCTGGGTGCAGTTTCCAATACTTTCCAGGCCCCTGGCCAAGCATTACCAGGCTACCTTGTAGAGTCAACTTTACCTGCTGCAAAGACAGGGTCACGCCAGCTTCCCACAGCCTGGGGCGTCAGTGCGTTTATATCAGATGGACCTGCCAGGGGCCACCTCAATGAGAAGGCAGGCCCTGAGGCCTGGGGTGGGCAGGCTGAATCTCGGGGTAAATACTGTTGAATGTGACACATGGCCCTGCTAGTAACCAGGCCTCTGGCCTCTTCTTCCCAACTCAAACATCAATTTCCACCAAAATATTCCAGGAAGGGATGGCAGCACTTTCAGAAATGGATTCCTTCAGGCTTGAGTCACTTCCACACTGTATTTTCAATGTGCTGACTTACTCGTTTCATGGGCCTGGGTTTATGAAGGCCCCACCATATCGTTTACCAGGAAAGTGGCTGCCAACTGCACCAATAACCCTTCCAAATGGAAAAATTAAATCATGTGGCCAGGACACCGAGAACAGCGGCTCCGAGGGCTGGTAGCTGGAGCAGTTCCTGTGTTCCTCCAGAAGACCCTTCCACCACAGAACGACGGGGCAGAGACTGCCCAGCCTCCGGGGGCTTCTCAGGGCACCTCTGCTAACCCCTACCGACGGCGCTTCAGTCTGGCATAACTAGAAGGCGGCTACCCTGCTCGTAGCTCCCAGCAGTTCTGGCCTCGGTGAAATGACTGATTTCTCATTCGCAGAGCAGCATGGCATCCAGCCCCGGAGAGAGATAAGCAAGACTAACCCCTGGAGACAACCCGCTTATTTTCAGAATCCCTTCTCTATGCAACATCCACCCATGGATCCCTCTCCACCAAACAAACAGACAAACAAAAACAGGGATTCCCCCCCCCCCCCAAATTGGGCTATTTTCAAAGTTAGTTTAGGTGTCGATCATTTCCTAAACTGTGTGTACTGTGTATCATAAACAGGCTAGGCAGGCCCTCTACGCATGGCATAGTATCTACTTTAAGCACATTCTCATCCTGTGAAGTAGTTAAGAATTAGCCCCATTTTACAGGTTTGGGAACTGGGGCCCCGAGTTATTAAGGTGCCCAAGGCCCACACAAGAAGCAAGCAGTAGAGATAAATCTCCCCTCTGATCATAACTCTGATTTAAGACAGCTAAGAGAAAAGACCAAGGGACACTATAGTGGCAAATAACTCCCCCACCCCCACCCCCTCTCAGCTATGGATGGCCACAGAGCCTGGAAGGAAGTCTTGGCCACGGCAAGGAATTTTTTTAATTAGATCTCTTGCATTTCTTTAAAAAAATTTTTTTTCCTTTATCAATTTTAGAGAGAGAGGAAGGGAGAGGGAGAAAGATAGAAACATTGATGAGCAAGAACATTGATGGGCTGCCTCCTGCATGCCCCCCACTGGGGATCGGGCCCACAACCTGGGCATGTGCCCTGATTGAGAATCAAACTGGTGACCTCTTGGTGCATAGTTCGACGCTCAACCTCTGAGCCACACCAGCTGGACAGCAAGGGAGATTTTAACAGCTTCTACCAAAAGCAGCTGGGATCTGGAACTGGTCTGGTCTCCTGCTGCACCTGCCATCACATCACAACCTTTCCCCAAGCGTCATTATTTGTTCTGTTGGCTATTACCCTGGCTCACCTACTGGGCCCTGATCTTGGTCTAGCCCATTCTAAATGGCTGGAGCCCTGATACTATTGGCCTAATGTATCCTGGATTACGGTGGAGACTAAGCAAACAGGCTCTACAGTTAGACTTCCTCACTCCACTGCTTACTGGCCTTATGACCTTGGGTATGTCATTTTACTTCTCTACTAAGACTGGACTTGCTCTCCTGTAAAGTGGGGACAATAAAAACCAACTTACTGTGATTTGGGGGATCACGTGAGCTAATGCGTCTATATTCGGTACACCCAGCAAAGGGGAAAGCATGTGCATTAGTAGCTGACATGATGTATCCCCTTTGCCCCCTTCTGTACTCAACACCATCTACTGCTGTTAGTCTTAGATGGCCACACCAGCCTGCATCACATCTGAATTCATCACACTGTTTCAGGCGCTGGATAAAAACGGACCCGAGGACCCAGTTTTTCTTCACCCCAGTTCTGCCTGGAGCCACCTGCTTTCCCTGTCCCACCAATCATGGTGCTTGAAGCTACATCCCCCAACACAGGAAAGCTTAGAGATAATGGGGTTTGGTATAAAACAGGTGTGACTTCACTCCTATCCAAGAGGTTAATCCCCAGATCAAAAGTATTTGAAAAGTTTCTTCCTGGCACTTACATGAACTGAATTATATTTTTTCTCTGTTTGTTGTCTGTCTCCCTCACTAGAATGTAGACTTTACTGAGCAGGGACTTCAGTCTGGTCAGTGGTGGCATCCCCAGTGCCCACGGCGGTGCTCCACACACAGCAAGTGCTCAATAGACTTGGGAGGGAAGGGGGAGTTTTATGACATGGAGCTTCCCAAACGCCGATCAGCTTTAAGAAAAGAGTATATTATAAAGAACTAAACTTTGATGACACCAATGACCAACTGCATTTGTGGTTCACAAATATGAACCGAGATGTTGTACCACAGCTCTAGGTAAAAAGAACTGGAGTTTTAATGAAAATCCTGGCATTTTATTAATATACAACCTGGAGGGACAACCTGAAAAGCAAGAGACCTGGGTGCGCTCTGCAGCTGATCAGCCACGAAATACACCAAAGGTGAACCGCACCAGTGAAAGTACTTCCGGTAAAGACTCGTCTAAATGACATTAATTTCTTCATATGGTTAAATGTAGTCATTCTTTTTCAGAGAATGCCCCAGCTTTGGTTTTGAGATGTCCTTAATTTTATGAAACCATAGGTTTATTTTGGTTTTGTTTTAAAGAAGGGCAACCCAATGACCTAGTTCTTTTTTTTTTTAAAGTTTCTCACCTGTGAAATAAAAAAAACAAATGTGTCAGCCATTGGTCTAGAAAATGGGGTCCAGCCTGTCCCACGTGTTCAAGTAGATCAGATCAGCGTCAAGGGCCGGAAGGGATCCCACGCCTCCCACTCTGTCCCTCTGTCCTTCAAAGCAGACAAAGCTGACTAAGGCGGCAGTGCAAGGAGTTGATTTGTGACACCAGCTGTCACCAATAGCCACACCTGTCACCTGCTCAGCTGCCTTTCCTCTTCTAGTCACAGAGCTCCTCGTTCCATGTTTGGACAAGGCTGGTCTCCACTCCACCACCAGCCACGGGCCATCAGGGGGCAGCAGCCTACACAGCCTGGGCCTGTGGGAAGGTGCATGGCTTTCCTTCTCCCTGCCAGGGAAGCTGGGATGGGGGCTGAGGATCCTGGGCCACAGCCGGCCACAGGAGAGCACCGGCCTGAGCTTCTGAGCAATGGGGACCCCCTGAGATATTACCTGAGGTACTAGATCCAGCCACCCTTGAAGATCTGTCACTGGGCTTTTCAAAGTTCATGCCCAGGTTCCAATCAAATTCCAAAAAACATACATCTGAACTGTCGTTCAAAAAATTACGGTAGTGCACAGAAACACACACACACACAACTCATGAATGCGTAGAATTTGCCCTACCCTGCAAAGCACCTGGGATACGATATGGCTGACTGATTCTTCATCCAAGCAGGTCCAATTTTCGACTTTTAGAGAAACTCTGAAGGTGGGCCATATTTTTGTATTCTATTTCCTCCATTTCAGCCGTTTCTCTGGTCAAAGATAAAAAAGCTCTGGAGGAATAATCTTACTGCTGTCATATAGAATACAAAGTATGGACTACACGAGGGGTTTACAGATTTGTGCACCAGGCAGCTGCCCAAAGGTGCATTAGTCATGACCTGGCACCCAGCGATCACACTTCCAGCCCATCTCACCCCTCCTCCCGCCTCACCCCTCCACTTCTGCCTGAACCTCTCAGACAACTACACTGCTCCCAGAGCATTCATTTGCACATTCCTCCTTCCACTAAAAATACTCTCCATTTAGGGTTGATGAATAAAATAATGGATTGACCAGTTATGTTTTAATTTCAGATATACAATGAATAACATTTAATGTAAGTATGTCTCAAATGTTTCACGGAATATATATATATTTATTTATATTTATATTTTTTAATCCTCACCTGAGAACATTTTTTTTTTTTTTTGCATTTATTTTCAGATCGAATGGGAGGGAGAGAGGGAGGAAGAGAGAGAAACATTGATGTGAGAGAGACACACTGACTGGTTGCCACCTGCACGACCTCAACTGGGGTCGGGGACAAACTGCAACCGAGGTACACGCCCTTAACAGGAATTGAACCCAGGACTCTCTGGTCCGCGGGCTGATACTCTAACTGCTGACCCAAACTGGCCAGGGCAGAACATATATTTTTAGTTGCTAAATCTGGCACCCTATCACCCACCCCTCTCTCAAATCCTACCACCCGTTAGGGCCCAGCCCAAACTCTAATTTCTTTATCAAGATGTCATATTCTTTGGATTTCCTGCAATAACACTGATGTCACCTGAACCCCAAATGCTCTGGGGATGGCTGCTCTGACGA